ATTCCCGGCCGTCTTGATGCCTGATGTGAGCGTACGTCGGGTTAACGTCCAGTAGCTCCACCTCGTCAACCATCGGATCTTGTTTAGAGTGACGAACGAATCGTCTTAGAAGAACTGGTCCTGGCGATCCTAGCCATGATGGGAGCGAAACTCCGTGTGAAGATCTTCGTTGAAAGGCAAAGAACCTTTCATGCGGTGTCACATTCGTTGAAGTCGAAAGCAGGGACCGGATTGAGTGTAAGCGGTCGGCAGCACCCTTTCCCACTGACGGTCAGCCAAGTAATAATTTCTCAGTGAAAGTTGGACCGATTTCCATATTATTCCGTTATACCTCTCGCACTGCGCGTTGCCTGTATGTACTATGATAAGGAGTTGTTCGACTTGTAGCTACTCCTTTCTGCGAAAGGTAATCTTTAAGTTCTGATGACATGAACGAAGAACCTCTGTCTGAATGAATGTAATTAGGCATGCCACAGAGGGTAAAGACGGTTTCGAGGCATTTGATCACCGTGGAACATTGCGTATTTGGGCATGGGAAAGGGAAAGGAAAAGGAGAATATTCGTCTTCTATTGTGAGGATGTACGTATTTTTTGTAGCCGATGGGAGAGGTCCCTTGAAATCAATACTGAGACGCTCCATTGGCTGCGTGGCTTTCATGAGGGTCCCTTCTTCAGCCCTGAAGAACCGAGGCTTCAATTCTGCGCATATTCTACAAGAGGCACACGTCCGTTTGACATCTTCGGTTGAGAATGGGAGATTCTTCGTTCTAACGAAGTGTAGCATTCTTCTGACTCCCGGATGACACAGTCCATTATGAATTTCTACGAGTGTGGAGGTCGAGAATGGTGAACAGCACGAGGCTCTTGTCAGCGCATCTGTAGTTACGTCATCCTTCCCTGGGGCCATACTTTCAAAACTCGCTAAGTGAACGTAAGTACTTACGCTCTATTTTCTTGTCTATGATTGGTGGATTTTGGTTGAAAGGCTGTCAATGATTGGCTGATGAACTTACGATCCCTTAACTTTTTTTGAAAGTATGGGCCCTGGACGATATTTGATCGAGTAGCTGAATGATGCCAGCTCTAAACTCCACAGATGTATTTTGTTGTTCTTTATCTTTGTCCTCTTCTTTCTGTCCAGCATAAAAGCCACTGACCGTTGATCCGTGATCAAAGTGCAAGCGCGTCTGGCCAGAAGATGGGTCCATTTACGCACCGCTTCTATTAAGGCCGATGCTCCTTCTCAACAGCAGGGTAGTGCAATTCGCTTCCATGTAGAGTTCTTGACATGAAGGCAACTTTACAACAAAAGGCAATTCCTCTTTAATGGACGTTAGAGTTGCGCTGGCCAGTTGTGACGTAAGAGTTTCGAAAGCCGACAAAGCGTTTTGATCGAATGGAAAGGATTTTGTGTTGTGAATCTTGTTCGAGAAATTCTCAATCCACTTCGCATAGTACGCTAACATGCCCAGGGGCCAGATTATCAAAACTTCGTAACTTTTTGTACTTACGACAAAAAAGTTATGTGGTACGTAAATACACCCTAATTTTGGCATTATCAAAATTTTCGTACGCAAGTCTTAGCTAAAAGCGTAAACGTTTTTCCCGCTCAAATGTTTTGATAATACCACCGCTAGTATTACGTTGTCATAGCAACGCCACTCGTAAGTTGATTTTGCGTACTTACGAAGTTTTGATAATACGGCCCCAGGGCTCTCAGCAAGGAAGACGTATTTGTGGGAGGAGGAAGCTCTTGAATGGGACGAAGGCTCTCTGAGTCAGGCTTAATGACCCCACTTCCCACACAATATCCCAGAATATTGATGCTGGGTACGGATTGTATGGTTTTAGAGTCGTTGAGCGTTATGTTTCGCCGCATGAATTTAATTAATTCATGAATTAGCCATGAATTTGTCAAGATTGATATCATGGTTTGTCTCTGCCAGCCACCGTAATGTTGTCAAGACAAGGGAAGGTACTCTCCAAGTTTTCGTCCTCTGCCATTTAATACATGGCACGTTGGAACGACAAGAACAGCAAATAAGTACAAATGAGAACAACGAAGAACAACAAATAAGTACAAATGAGAACAACGAAGAACAGCAAATAAGAACAAATGAGAACAACGAAGAACAGCAAATAAGTACAAATGAGAACAACGAAGAACAGCAAATAAGTACAAATGAGAACAACGAAGAACAGCAAATAAGTACAAATGAGAACAACGAAGAACAGCAAATAAGTACAAATGAGAACAACGAAGAACAGCAAATAAGTACAAATGAGAACAACGAAGAACAGCAAATAAGTACAAATGAGAACAACGAAGAACAGCAAATAAGTACAAATGAGAACAACGAAGAACAGCAAATAAGTACAAATGAGAACAACGAAGAACAGCAAATAAGTACAAATGAGAACAACGAAGAACAGCAAATAAGTACAAATGAGAACAACGAAGAACAGCAAATAAGTACAAATGAGAACAACGAAGAACAGCAAATAAGTACAAATGAGAACAACGAAGAACAGCAAATAAGTACAAATGAGAACAACGAAGAACAGCAAATAAGTACAAATGAGAACAACGAAGAACAGCAAATAAGTACAAATGAGAACAACGAAGAACAGCAAATAAGTACAAATGAGAACAACGAAGAACAGCAAATAAGTACAAATGAGAACAACGAAGAACAGCAAATAAGTACAAATGAGAACAACGAAGAACAGCAAATAAGTACAAATGAGAACAACGAAGAACAGCAAATAAGTACAAATGAGAACAACGAAGAACAGCAAATAAGTACAAATGAGAACAACGAAGAACAGCAAATAAGTACAAATGAGAACAACGAAGAACAGCAAATAAGTACAAATGAGAACAACGAAGAACAGCAAATAAGTACAAATGAGAACAACGAAGAACAGCAAATAAGTACAAATGAGAACAACGAAGAACAGCAAATAAGTACAAATGAGAACAACGAAGAACAGCAAATAAGTACAAATGAGAACAACGAAGAACAGCAAATAAGTACAAATGAGAACAACGAAGAACAGCAAATAAGTACAAATGAGAACAACGAAGAACAGCAAATAAGTACAAATGAGAACAACGAAGAACAGCAAATAAGTACAAATGAGAACAACGAAGAACAGCAAATAAGTACAAATGAGAACAACGAAGAACAGCAAATAAGTACAAATGAGAACAACGAAGAACAGCNTGCTCCTGGTGGGGGCGGCCATCCGTGTCCTCCTGGTAGGGGGCGTCCACCCCCCCGCCCCCCTCACTCGGCATGGCGTAACGCTGCACTGTCTCCACGTCACGCACCTGTAACATAACGTAATGTAACGTAATGTAATGTAACGTAACGTAATGTAACGTAATGTAACGTAACGTAATGTAAATAATGTAATGTAACACCACATTATGTTATGTGATGTAACGTAACGTAACGTAATGTAATGTAACATAACGTAATGTAATGTAACATCACATTATGTGATGTAACGTAACGTAACGTAATGTAACGTAACATAATGTAACGTTGTTATAAGATAATGAAACGTTGTAACACAAGGCTATGTTATTGTAAGCCATACAGAGATACCGTATGTGAGTGCGGTTATGTTGCCCAAGTATAATAACATATAGTATAGATATTAGTACAAAATTTAGAGTATATAGTACTCAGATGTTCTTTAAAGCAGCTAAATTCATAGTATCCTGCAGCACAGTACAAAATGGTATAAATAGAAAAAATTAAATACAATTATATAACTATCTGACACTTCATCACTATCATCATCCATATCAAATTTAAGAACAACCAACCTTACCGCAATCAGTAGCAAGCTTCAGAACAGTTTTCTTGTACTCGAGTAGAACAACCAACCTTATCGTAATCAGTAGCAAGCTTCAGAACAGTTTTTTTGCACTTGAGTAGAACAACCAACCTTATCGTAATCAGTGGCAAGCTTCAGAACAGTTTTCTTGTACTCGAGTCTTTTCTTCTCCTTCTCCGTGAGAGTTTCTTCATCAAAGAGGTACTCCTCGTCGGCTATGTCGCCAGCAAGTTCCTTGAGCTTGTCGTCCTTGCGCTTCACAAGATATTTCCTTCTCGAGTCGATCCTTAGCGTGGGCAGGACTTTGCTCCGGTCCTCCTTCTCCAGTTTGAGCCGCTTGGCAGCTTCTTCGAAGGCCTTCTGCTGAGCCGGAGTCGCCTCCGCCAGGTGCCGGGTGCTCGCTTCGTCTTTGAGCCGCAGTCGCTCAGCAAACGCATCTCTGAACAACATTAAAATTTATTAGAATACTTAAATAAATAATTAACTAACAAATCAGAAAGAATGGCTAAAAATACATCATATTTTCATATAAAAATTAAATTTATTGTTTAATTTTCATTCTATGTTAATTTTCTTCAATTTTAAATGATTAATTAAACTCTTAATGATCCATGAAGGCATGTCTAAAGCAAGTGTAAATCCACAGATGAGATAACCATTACAATTTTAAATAAAAAGAAATTTGAATGTGAATCTCAAAAGAAATTAATATGAATGCCCATTACTGGTACAAAAAAGTGAACAAAAATTAGCTACAAATTCAAAATAATGATAGTAAAATGAAACAGCTTATGTCAGAGGTAAGTGATGGAATGGTTTATATGCCTAGATGATTTATGGTAATGATAACGTTGACATGAGAAAGTTGATTAATAGATATCCTTAAAATAAATTGAAGTTATAGAAAAACACAATACAAACTAAAATAGACATCACTAAAAAATATCAGTGCCTGAACCAGTGAAGATTCACACATCAATAAATGTATTTTAAATCAATAAATGTATTTTCTTGCTAACTGCATGTATACCTACAAACCATGAATACAATCATGATCAATCTATACAGAACAAACCATACTTGTGTTATTATTCTTGTCTTAGAATTGGTGACATGAAACCAATATTAAAATGTACCTATTTAGTATATCTTTGTTTTGATTCATTACATCTCAGACAAGCAAATATTTATTGAAAAACCTTCATGAGCTTGATAAAATGTTTATATATTAATATACAGAGCTGGGCAGCGCTACTTTGAAATGTAGCAGGCCTTTCTGCTACCGCTACGGTACCGCTACAAGTGCTTAAATGTAGCGCTGCTACAACTACTTAAATTGTAGCGGCCGCTACATGTAGCGCGCTACTGCCCACCTCTGTTAATATATTATAATAATCAAAATATACCTATATTTATATAGGTGCATTGTGATGACACATCTTGCACAGTTTAATTTAAATAATGTAATTAATTGTAATGTAATCAACTCCATTTAATCCATTTTATTCTCATCCTCGGCCAATATTTAAACATGAAGAAATGATGATTAGACAATTTCATGATCAAGATCATTAGCAAGCTGCATACAGTGACAAACCAGAAAATTATTAAAACTATTTCATTTTTAATTTCCTCGTCTACTCAAAAGTTAAACCAATATCTTATGTATAATAATTTTGGCATCTATTATATTTTACTGGTCTACTTATAGGACTCAAAAATAAACTTGAGGAAGAGTCTAAAAAAATCTCTGCTTTGTCACTGTGCTGCATAGCTATTATAAATTTTACATTACTATATATATTAGCATAGGTACATATTATATATTAATATTATAAAAATATTTATTATATTTAAATATTAACAATTATTGGAGTAAAATACAATATCTTTGATTATTCATGATAATCAAGACTTGTTCATAATTATTCTGCAATGTAGGACTTTGCTTATTCCTAATTTTTTATTGTTTTATTTTTATTTTATTTCTTTTATTATTTCAATAAGGAATAAAATATTTCAAAAAATATTTATTCCTTTGCTAATTTTAGTCCCAACATGAAAAAAAATGTTTAGGTAGGTAATTCAATTGAATAATTATGAACTTGATCAATTAGATGAAATGCATGTTTTCAATGATACAGTGACTGAATTAAAAAATTACATTACATTGTAGGTGAATTCCTCTGGTATTTTAATAATATAATGGTAAGTGAGAACATATAGGAGCCAGGAACAACAAGCTTGTTTAAAAGTGTAATCAATATATTTATATTCAATTATTACATTTTATTTATTATTATATTTATTTTTAATTATAAAATATATTTAATTATTTTGGAGGAATCACAATCCAGGAACAGATGAATTTAACAAAGTAATGCAATAATGCGGCTTAAATATAAATAATTTTAATACTAAGCAGCACAATTAACACTAAAGCTATTGAAGAACACCCCTGGCAATATTGACTTCATAATTATCTTTGCGCATAAAATATATTAATTTGCAAGAATCATGAGCAAAAATATTTGTATAAGATAAAAGTTTACACATGAATAATTTCTAAAAATTATCCAAAGTTAACACAATTGAAAACAATGTTTTTCAGAAAACTCTACTTAACATTAACTTCACAACCATGTTAAGACCAAAGTAAACAAACATATCAAGTATTTAGCTAAATTAATATAAAAATTTGCTCATGATCAAAATTCACATACCGTACAAACAATTTTAAAAAATTATACTCAAATAATTTTTACAAAATTCATATACAAATAATTTTAAAAACTCATATACAAGCGATTTCTACAAAATTAATATACAAATAATTTACACAAATTCATATACAAATAATTTCTATAAAATTCATATACAAACAATTTTTACAAATTCATATACAAATAATTTACTAAATTCATATACCTACAAATAATTTTCAAAAATTTGTACATAAATAATTTCCAAAAGTTGTATACAAATAATTTCTATAAAATTCATATACAAACAATTTTTACAAATTCATATACAAATAATTTCTACAAAATTCATATACAAACAATTTTTACAAATTCATATACAAATAATTTCTACAAATTCATATACAAATAATTTTGAAAACTCATATACAAACAATTTCTACAAAATTAAATATACAAATAATTTCCAAAATTTGTAATAATTTCCACAAATAATTTTTTAAAATCACTCACTGTGTACCCGGTCAAAAAGCTCCGTCACAAGTCCCCGCATGTCAGCATCAACGTCAATGCCTCCTTGCGTGAGTTGCCGGCAGACGGCCTCAACATCCCTGGCAGCTCGGGCTTGTTGTACGAGGTACTCGGTGACGGAGCCGTCACTCATGCCGAGAACCGAGTGCAGCTTGTCGCTGAGCCATGTGTGGACTGACATTGTGTTGGTGAAATAGCTACAGATTTGTAGGCAGAAACTGCTTTTTCATCAATAATGAACAAAATATATATACTATAAATATATAATATCTATGAATACCAGTATATCCCTGCCAGCACTGATAAAAGAGAAAAAAATATTTAATGCACCTGGAGAAATGTGTACCTACATGTGATGTTAAAATGGATGGGTTCAAAAATTATCACAAGAACTATTCACTGGCCAAGAATTAAAGCACTTTTGATTTTCCCATTTGCTAATGGCTAGATAAAGTAAACAAATATTCTATTAGCCATTATGCGGGCAAGTTACCATGAATTGTATCTTACAATTACAAAACACATTTCCTCTTCTTACCAAAAAAAAACACATTTCCTAGTTTGCAATTGACTTCGAGGCTAAAGTATCATGAACTATCAATCACAGATTGGCCGTCGCATTACGGAATTGTCTGGCAAACGTAAAGAGCCTATGGTTGGAGCAAAGGNCAGGAACGTGTTCCGTTTATATTAAGAATTGAACCTGTCTCTTATACACATCTAGATGTGTATAAGAGACAGCCTCTAGGCTCTAGCACCCCAATAATGAATAATGCTAAATCTTTTAAACTTTTATTATTGGCCAGAATTTACTAGAAAGCACTTGTAATAATCCTTATTTCACATGCAATTTTTTAATATAGCAGATTAAACTGAGCCATTTTGTTTCAATAAAGAAATTAGAGGAAGCCTGCTGCCTTAGGCAGCAGCATGCTTGTTAGTAAGCTTAGGCTTACTAACAAGCTTAGGAACCAAACAACTTGAAACAAGTGAAATTGTCCAGATTCAGACATTTTATTTTTTACCAGAATCACTGGTGGCTCCTGCCAAATTTTTCAATTAGACAATACTTCTCTGGTCTACTCATTATATATCTCACAATTTAGTCACAAATGGACTTGAGGAAGACTGGAAGAGTCTAAAAGTCTCTGTTTTAGTTTTACCACTATCTAAATTCTAAAATATCTACTAACCCATATCAAAAATGTTATGTTTACTAAAATGGGGAAGGTGGCCAAGTGACATATTGGCCGCCTGACATGATAATGAGATGATGAATAACCGCATTAACTGGTGCAATATTGTGTTCCCATCGAATTCGAGCGGCCGCTACATTTTCACAACTCACAAGTCTACTTCCCACAAAGAAAACATTCTACCGTAGTGACTGACTAGTGAGCGCAAAATGACTTGGGGTAGACTTGCACTGATGGTTGCCACCACGTTTCCACGTACGACAACTTCAAAGTGTTCCCAGTTGCGTACAAACGTCCTCAGGTTCTTACACTCAATAGTTTACGTATAATTTAAGTTAAAAGTTATGTTCTCGAACCCGAAGAGGCGAAGAGTGATATACGACGGTTGGGGGTTAAAAGCTGAAGGCGCTGAAGTGCAGAACACATGGCGAACAATGGATCAATCTAATGCGGCGGAGAATCGGGCGATTGCTTAATTTTAGGAGCTGGCGCTCTAATACATTATTACTATGTATCACTGGTGTCAAAAGAACCACAATCTTTCATATTATAATTTATTGACTCGAGAAACTTGAACCACAGCGTTTGAGACAGATCTACCATTGTATGCTTAAATATGTTCAACGATCTTATCCAGTCTTGAGCGAAAGTCCCGCGTGAGTGCGTTGGTTGATGAATTGTGAATGAATGAAGACGGGTTGAAGGTGAAGAAACAGCCANGTGCGTTGGTTGATGAATTGTGAATGGATGAAGACGGGTTGAAGGTGAATAAGAAGTCACGCGTTTACCACTGGTAAATTCTGTACAGTGTACCGCGAGTAAAAAATTGTATTGTGCTCTCCTCATTGTATACCTACTGGACAATTACTTTAATATAGTGTGACATAGTCCAACGTGACATAGTCCATTATTATGTTCAGAGGTGGGCAGTAGCGCGCTACATGTAGCGGCCGCTACATTTTCAGTAACGGTAGCAGTAGCGGCGCTACATTTAAGCAATTGCAGCAGTAGCGGTAGCGCCCGCTACATATTTAAGTAGTGATACGAGGTTTTGCCGCTAACATAGTCCACATAGGCATATTAATATAGTGTGACATAGTCCACATAGGCATATTAATATAGTGTGACATAGTCCACATAGGCATATTAATATAGTGTGACATAGTCCAACGTGACATAGTCCATTATTTTGTTCAGAGGTGGGCAGTAGCGCGCTCCATGTAGGGACCGTTACATTTTCAGTAGCTGTAGCGGCGCTACATTTATGCAATTGTAGCGGTAGCGGTAGCGCCCGCTACATATTTAAGTAGCGATACGAGATTTTGTCGCTACAGCACTACCGCTACATTTATAGATAAAGCCTTTAGATTTTACTTAATAGCATTATATATTATTTAAAAACCAGCATGATACATACATAATATAAATTACAGAATAAAACTGTACGAAAGATTTCGGTGTATTGTTGTCAACCTCAGCCTGTTACTAGCTGTCTCTTATACACATCTAGATGTGTATAAGAGACAGACCTCCATGTNATAACATTCATTGTCATAGGTTAGTTTTTTTGAGTTATGTCGTGTCAATTGAATTTGCAAATATGGTCTACACTCAGAGTAATGAGCGAGAGATTGTTCAAATAGTGAAGCTATTCTTGCTCTTGCATGGGTCAACCTGGCCCAGTTTGGCCCGGTAAAAGGACATATCAGTGCTACAATTAGAAAGTGTGTCACTACTTGAACAATATGGCCATACATTTTTCTGGGTATAAAATGGCACAAAATTTGTATTATTTTGCCTCTAAAATATGTTTATATTCTATGACATTCATTACGTTGTTGGGCAAGATTATGATTTAATGGAAGATGACTCAGTTATCTTGGATTCCTTGAGGATTTAAAGCGGGTCACGTAAAGGATTAAATCTGGTCAAATAAATTTCAAATTTCAGCATATAAGGCCAGGATTGAAGCAGTGAGTCGTGAGTTTGATCCCAGCTACCTGCGACAGTTCTGGTAAAATCGCCAAAGGGCTATGCTATTAAGCTAAACGAAATTGGTGCCATGAGTTGCGTGATCGACACCCACATCAAGCTATGAATATTTTGCGATGTTATGAATTAGCGACAGCTCTAACGGCCTAATTACCGCTACAACAGCTGTGCCGTACTATATATATAGCGGTTTTAGCGTTTATTAGGCCGGAGGCCTGTCGCCGATTCTTATCATCGCAGAATATTCACAGCTTGTTGCGGGCTTGAACTCGCAACTCGCTGCTCCAATTCTGCTGTGCTTAACTGCCCGGCCTCCTCGCCGATTCTAACCAGAAACTGGCGCACAGAAGTGGGATCGAACCCGCACCTCTCAGCGCCAATCTTTGTACTCAGAACTGTAACCACTGGGCCACCCTGCCCGTACCTATACTATAACTTGGCTGCTGTTTGGATTTAAATAATTGTAGTAATTCTTGAAACACTATACTCTGGTTTAAAATTGATCAAAAAAATGAACGACTAATCCATGAGGCCCAAAATATTATAGGAATATATTTTGTTCCAACAACTGAGGTTAAGGGGAGTGTCTGCCCCAAAATAGAAAATTTTGACTTTTCCGGTTTTTATACTCATCTTAAAGCTTACATTCTGACGCATCTAACGGTACCAAAACCATCTATGTACGTTATTTATGCGTTCACGAAAGATCACGAAAGGGTTAGAGGTGGTGGAGTTCTTTCACATATAAGATAGGCGAAAATTCGCTGCCGAGCACATAAATATACGGGTCTGAACTCTGACGTCGCTGCTCTTTAGTTACCCGGGGGCTGTCGTGCGGGATGTGTTCATGCAGTCGTTCCCACCATCCAGTAACGTCTAGTCTTGCATCATGTCACTTTTAATGCCTATTTTGAGGAGCTCGGGGACTTGTCGCGCTCTACTGAACATTCACACTTGTTGTCACTGCAAACCTATCGTCTCCTAGAGTTTTGAAGCTACAGCAATGAGAGATATACCGTTCGATTTGCAAAGAAAAGATCTACATAATTGTGTATACATATACACAATTTTATAGATATGGTTTTGGCGCATCGAATGATATGTGTCTCGATGTCGTAGCTTCAAAATCCTAGGAGGAGATGGATTTTCACAGTGCCCTCTTTTTGACCGTTTTATAGGAATTTCACGTTTTCTTTCATTTTTTTTCGAAAAATTTACACGAACAAAGAAGTCATAGAATTCGGTTTTACATACGTGTATCATGTTTTGATCCGTCTGTAAATAACCGAGATAAAGTTTATGGCAGACGCTCCCTTAAAATTCCTATTCTATATATTCCTATTCTATTCGTTGCGTTTATAAACGATCTGCCAGAAGCTGTGTCTAGCGTGTGCTCGATGTATGCTGACGACACTAAAATTTATAATATGGTGAAGGAAAGAAATGAAGGCAAACTCGTTATAACAGATTATAAACGTAAACAAGAAGTTTAAACGTCGTTCAGGGACAACACTTCAAGTGTCACGTCACTCACGTGGTCAGTGCAGCGGTAATTTCATTGGTTGACGTCGTTGTGTTACAGGATCACAGCGTGCATAGGCTAGCTCAAATTTACGGCTTCTCTGCTGGTGAGTTGAATGAATACTCTCTTGGATTCAAATCACATAAATTTAAGGTTTCTTTAATTATTTATTTATCTGTACCTCTTGAACTACCGTCAATTGGCGTGAAATGCCGACTGGCGTCAACGCCACATAAGTCGCCACTGCTCAGAAACTGCACACACCTTGCCTTGCTTCAGTAAAAAACGTATAGTACTGGTCAGAAGTACGATTTTTGGGTTTGATACCCACATGATGTCGATGATTACAAAACTGTTTTAGTTGCACTAGGAATTAGGAAAGTGTACTAATTCATTTTTTATTAAAAAAAATAGAGGCTGGCGATAGTGGCAACTGGCAACTTTAGTGCAGCTGGCAATGGCAGGGTTATTGGCATAGGCATTGATGATTGATGTTTGATGGTAAGCTACATAAAAATACCTAGGTAATATTTTTTACTTGCTGTGTCAATGTGTCATTATGCATCTACCTATAAAGTTGGTTTGATCAAAAATTAGGTATGAGAACTTTTTAATTCATTCAACTTTTCAACATGCATTGCATTAAACTGAACTTTCTTTTTGCTGTCTGATCATCATTTAGGTATAGTGCAAACTGCAAAGCAAGAATGGAAAAATAGAAAATTTAATTGAAATGTTTGGGCTCTAATCTAGGTATCTAATACTACCACACAATCACACATGAAACTCAGACATAAACTTCACTTTTATAGCCTAGTTTTATTAAATATTGACTGTAAAATGATGCATACAAAAGACATAGACTTCAAAACAAAAGTCATAGTGAAATTTATATGTTGGCAAAAACATTGGATTGGAATTTTCCTACTTGATTCTGAAATCTTGTGGCTCCAACATGACGAATTTTTAATAATTAATAATTTAATTTTTGCCACCTGATTATGCATATTTGTTAACAATTAAATAGGAGGTAATTCATGTGGCAGAAATCTTGTGGTTCCAAAAATGCCAAGAAAGTCACAGCCCTAGCCCCTAAAAGTAGAGGTTTTCCACTGAATCCACTCTTGCTTAGACCTTAGAGCTTAGAGTTATAGCATGGACATGGCAGCTGGCAATTTAGTCACTCTCACAGTCTCACTCATAGTTGAGCTTCCAAGGACTAACAATATTTACCTTCAATAATGCATAAGTCGGCACTCAGCAGATGCCTACTGCACTTAACTCGCTGCCTTTCAACAAAAACCATGTAATACTGGTCTGAGTTATGATTTGCAGGGTTTGATTAGACCACTTGAAAACTAGTAAGCTTGTTCAATTTCACTTCACTACATATTTGCAACTCAGTTTTGTTCACAAAATAGATTTTTTTCTATTTATGGCTAGTAATTCGATTGCTGTTGTGACATAAGTGGCATTGACAGTAGGTAAAGCCTGCTCAAACTCAAGTGTGTTTAATATTGTCAAATAATTTTAAAATAGAGGCTAAGAGGAAAAATAGAGGAAAAACTACTTGAAAATTTCTCTGTAATTTTATTAAGGTTTTGGGTGTCAAACTCTGAGGGCCAGTAAAAATTATATCTATACAAGTTTGCACCTAACTTTTGAAACCAATGACTTGAAATAAATTTTTTCTCATTTTCTCTCTAAATAAAGAGAAACAATATTATCAGATAATAATGATATTATTCAGATAATTTCATTATTGAGAAAATCTTATTATTCACATATTCTCAATATTATGCAGATAATCACAATATTTTTTGGATTATAATATAATTATTCATATGATAATATCAGATTAATGACAAGCAATTCTTTGATTATAAATTATTTGTAAATTTCTGCAGCAACGCTGTTCTAGGTCTCAATGGCTGAGACCCCCCTGCCCCCGGGGCCGAACGTGAGCCTTGCTAACGAGGGGAGTGAGCCTTCAGATCTGCACTCTATAAGGCAACATCCTTCAGCTTCAGCTGGTGGTGGTGATGCCAACACGTCTATAGCCGGTGGTGGTGATGCCAACACGTCTATAGCTGGTGGTGGTGATGCCAACACGTCTATAGTTGGTGGTGGTGATGCCAACACATCTATAGTTGGTGGTGGTGATGCCAACACATCTACAGTTCCAGGTTCATGTTTGGGTAAGAATTACAGAATTAAAACCAATCTGTGAAAGAAAACGTTATTCTACTTCTATTTGCTTACTTTTTACACTATATTTATGTATTTGTTGCTGTTTACTTGTAGCAGCTCAGAAAAATGAAATAAAAAGACCTAATTTTTATTTTTGCCAATATTTTGTTTATCATGCAGTAAAGAAGACAAGCTGCCCAGTACCAACAATCCGCTGTTTTTGCTTCCAGTGCAACCTAAATGTCGACCCATCTTGTGAGCAAGGTAATTTTTCATTTCTTTTTAGCACATTTTCTCATGGAAAAAAGGCGCTATTGTGCTTGTCATGTCCATCCGTCCGTGACTTCACGTGACAGAAAATTTACTATTTCACTCACTGCAGTGAGTAATGATCTAATTTTTCTACTTCCATAATTTGCTCCAATATTTTGACAAATTTTGAACATGTGTGACTTTTTAAGATATAAGATTGATTTTTTATTTCTGTGTAGTTTTTTTTTTTTTGGCTTCAAGTATTGACGTTATTTCACAAAATTCCTTGTTAATGTTTTAATAAAATTGGAAAAGTGTCATCCAAACATTTTCCTACATATTTGTTCATGGTTTGCAAAAATTAAATTATTATATATCACATTATTATCTTTACTTGATTGATGTTAACCCTCTACCGCCATATGTTACTATCTGGGAACATATCTTTTAGATTAAATTATATGTAAACTATTGAGTGTAGCAACCTGAGGACAATTGTACACAACAGAGAACATTTTAAAGTTGTTGTACGTGGTGGCAACCATCAGTGCAAGTCATTTTGTGCTCACTAGTAACGCATCGGTTTTTGGGAAGTAGGGTTGTGACAATATTGCTCAGGTAACTCATGCCAGGTGGTAGAGGGTTATGAGAGGTGGTCACCAAAATTGGCTGCCTGTTTGCTGTACTAAGGATGTAACAAATTCTCAGATGGAATGCAACTAAAGCTACAATCTTTCAGGACCAAACGTAGAAGAACAAGCCAAACACCTGGCCATATAATCCTGCTATGCTGTAATCAAATAACTGAGCAAAATTAAATCTAAAAAGTTATTTTGCCACTGTAAATAGTTTCAATTTTGCAGGTGTGGCTGGTAAAGCTTCCAAAACTCCACCGAGTTTGCTCACAGGTGTACAGACGGACGCTGAAGGCGTGCCTCTGGTAGTGCCAAAGAGCTTGACTTACTTGCTGGCAACCTGCAAGCCACAGTCAGCCAGGCAGCTGCTTAACCTGGTCCTGCACATCACCATGACTGAGTGTGGCTTTCTGCCTACGTCCTGCTGTGCCCAGACATCAGCCACCATAACCAAGGCAGTTGCTGCTTTGGCAGCCGTTTGTTTACCTCCTCAAGGCTGGAAAGAAAAGTCTGCTAGTTTACAGTACACTCACAACAGCTATGTTGGGCTGACATTCTCTTTGGTGCTGAAATACGAGAATGACCCGGAGTTCTACCCATGGCGAAAAGCCTATCCAGAAGAATCACTTGAAATTAGCATTAATGTTTGCGGTAGTGACATCCCAAGCAAAGACTTGGAAATTAAAACAAAATTGGGTGTAATTGATTTTGTTCAGAAAGTAGCAACATTGTATAATAATATTACACTGGGAAAGAAATCACTTTGCAATGTTTCAAAGCTTGCCCAGAAGCTACGCGATGACATTCTTGCTCCATTGCAACTTTCCATTTACAAGATTCTGGGGCTCCCATGCCCTGTCAATCTAGAAAATTTGCCATTTGACATCCTGATGTACATAACGAAGAAACTTGACGTGCGCAGCGTGGTGCACTTGTCGCAAACTTGCAAGCATCTTAACCATGTTTGTTCGGACAACTTCCTGTGGCGACATCTCTTCCAGAGAGACCTAAGGCCAAAGCTGCCTGAGCACATTGGATTTGCTGAGTATAGTAATTGGAAAACTGTATTTGAAGACTGGAAGGATTGGGATCCTAGCAAAATGCTAGATATTGAGCAAGAACTATGGGAGGCGCATGAATATGCTGATTATAGAGAGATGCTTAAGGAAGAGATGGCAATTTATGAACAGATCTGTATGAAAAGTTTCTTAAGGTAGAGATTGCAGTTAACGAACAAGGGCCTATACTTTCAAAAAAAGTTAAGAGATCGTAAGTTCATCAGCCAATCATTGACGGCCTTTCAAGCCAAATCCACCAATCATAGACAAGAAAATTGAGCGTAAATACTTACGTTCACTTAGCGAGTTTGGAAAGTATGACCCAAGAAAACTATGACGATGACGAGCTCTATGTCGTCTATGACGATGTCATCGAGGAAAACCTCGACTATGACGAAGATCTCGTCCTAGCTGATGACGGTTCTTACGATGCGGAACTTCATTATGCGATGGACCTATACTGAGGGGACGGACCAATTATCTCCTTATCCCCTAGCCCATTCATCTCCTAAAAGATTATGGAATTGCGATTTTTTCATCACATATTTTTCCTGATTTCAGGACAGGATGATGAATAATAGGTGAATGGTTAAATGATGAATCATAGAGGAATTAAGGAATTAAATTTGTGTTCTGTGCCCTGTTTCATAAATACGCCACTTCATTCATATTTAAAAAATTTTTATGATTGTTAAAAAAAGTTGAGGTACTTACTGATTTATCAAAGAAAGCACTCTTTATTTAATGATATGTTAGACTCAACTTTTAATTCACTACATTCAAAGAAATTATGTAGCGATACATTGGAAATTGTGTTGTCTTACTGTGTCACATACAGTATGTATAATATTTAAAGTAAAAGCTCTATTGTGATCAACTGCTATGGAAACGGCTGCCGCGTCTTGATCGAACTTTCAAGAATAGATGGAACAGAGCAGGGCTGTCCGTCCTGTGGCAGATGTATATGTAATTATGTATAAAAAAGGTGTCATTTTCTGAGCACTGATGAACACTAACTACCTGACCAGGGTGTGGTCTTGGTGGATTTAGCAACATCGTATGCAAGACGTGACAGGCCCCAGGTGTGATTAGCACCCAGTACCGTTACCCTGCTTTAGAGAGGTCTCATTGGCGTGGTCTCCTCCTTGGCGTGGTCTCCTCCTTGGCGTGATATCCTCCCCCTTGACGTGATATCCTCCTCCTTGGCGTGGTCTCCTCCATGGCGTGGTCTCCTCCCTGGCGTGGTCTCCTCCTTGGCGTGGTCTCCTAAAATAGGCTCGTGCCATTGAGCAGAAAAATATTATTTAATGGCGAGTTAAAATACAGAAGAAACAATTTAATTTATTTACAAAGTCAGAAGACAAAATGAAGCTAAAGGTAAAATACACTAGCACCAAAAAATTTGCATTGAACTTCGAAGGCTCCACTGTCGATGAACTGTTAGCGGCCGTTTTAGCCTTCATAACTGATACATATGGCGATGATTGGTAAGTTATTCATGTATTAGTTGATTTTTATAGAATTAAAATATCACATAATTCACAACTTACCGTCTAATTATTTAATACCGTAACAGCGTAACTGATTATCAATTTTGGTCGACATCGACGCTTACTCGTTGGTCGTTACTCGTTCCTCACGGTGACTTAGTAGTTAGGCTAGAAAGATTTTTTGATGAGTAAGTTACAGATTTAAATGCATAATTATTAACAAAAATATATGTAAATTTTTTCATCATAATATTCAAGCATGTTCTTCTGACCTGAATTGTAAAGTATTAGCAAACCGCTGCAAACGTCATATTTTAATTAAGTCAAACCGAATTGGAATATCTGACATAGCCACTAGAAATTAGCCATGGAATATATATATATCCTTCTTTTGAGCTACAATTCTCACAAATACCAGTAGAGCTTTTCCACCATTATTGAGCAAAACTTCCTGCTAGATTAAATACATTGTAGGCTTAAGGCTTGTATCTAATTGTTAACAAAAGTGCACAATTGGGCTGCAACTTCTGCAAGATTCCAATTGTTTTGGAAAATTTGGGTCAAATTGGGTGTGTGAAATTCCTGTAACAAGCAGGAAAATCCAATCCTGTGCATTAAGATAAAAAATATACTCTTTAATGTCTTTATAGTTGTTGAAAAGAATGTGCCAGTTGATTATTTCCCACTGGCTAAATTATGGGACAAACAGAGGTCTATCAGTATGAGTGAAGACTGTGAAGTGGCCTGCCAGCTTATTTAGTTTTGCAAAAATAATGGGTGGCTTTTGTCCAATTTTCAAGTCTAGCTAGCCACCAAAAACTGCATGTGAATTCTTTGATGTTACATTGGTATACAAATTTATGTGCATATTTTAATCAAGATAAACTTATATCATCATCATGGAGGCTTCATAAAATCCAAAGGCCTCAAATTTAGGCAGTTATTTAAACTTTTAAATACTATAGAACTTTTTAAATTTTGAACTAGGGTAAACGCGGTATATTCCGAGATCGTGAGTAATTCCATCACCTCTTTAGTTTTTCCTTTATATTAAGCTTTGTTTTAGTTCCATGCGTTTGTTGTTGGTTGAAATGGTGACGTCACACATTTGCGCGTCAAACTAATGCCAAAACACTAGGTCTTGGCCATCTAGCAGGAAAATATTGAAATCCAAAGAGAGACAATGCACGCTACTCAGTGAGATCATCGAAAAATGTGTCAAATTTGACAGTTGACCTTGCTCTACCAAATAGTGAATAACTGTTTGTATAGGAAGAATATTATGGTTTGAGACTTTTAAATACGTCTGTGAATATATTAGGAATCCTCTAAGTATACTTGTATTTGCTGAATTCAAGTGGTAAATAAATTAATAGATGATCAAGTTGAGAAATGGATTTAGACACATGAAAACTAATTCTGTCACAACTTGAATTGGATACACACAGATCGTTCCAAGCTATGTACAAAAATTAAAATTTGCTAAATTAAAAGCTTAATAGTTGTTAATTAAAAGTGTAATTAAGTAGTGTTCAATATTCATTTGTGTTCTAATTTAAAGCCGTGTTGTATTCCAATACAGCTCACACAGCAAACGGAATTTGAACACGTGGATGATGGCATTACGTATCAGTAGAATGTGAAGCGTGGACGGAATACGCCTCACCACATGCCGAATATTGCCACATACAGTGTCAGAATATAGGGATTTGGTAGGTTTGCATTCTAAAGGCTTTTAAATAAATATGGCAACATTTTGTGACGTTTCATCGTTGCAGGCGCGTAGTACGGTGTTTTGCGAGTCACATAAAACAAACAGAACTCGAGTAACGCATACGGTTATTTTTTCATAGTTTTTTATTTCTCGATGCGTCCTTACTTAATGTGTCGGAATATACCGCGTTTACCCTATACAAATTTATGTGCATATTTTAATCCAGATAAACTTATATCATCATCATGGAGGCTTCATAAAATCCAAAGGCCTCAAATTTGGGCAGTTATTTAAACTTTTAAATATTATAGAACTTTTTTAAATTTTGAACTACTTAGTACTTACTATACTATAATATAGTGCCAGCCTCTAAAAAACAAGTTTCAGTTGTTTTCTTATATATTTTGAAGAATTGCACTTGGCAATTCTTTTTACCAAACAAAAAAAAATTTTTAAATGAAATTTATGAATTTACCAAAAAGGATTTGGCAATGAAATTTTTTCATCAAAACTCACAACAGTCACAAGTACAATTGATGTATTTCATTAATTAATGTATATGCTCATAAATTGCCAGGCTTGTAATGCTAGTAGGTACTTTCAAGTTGGGAAGCTAAATTATTCAAAATTAAAACAAACGCATATTGAAATTAAATTAATATGTCAATTCAATACCAAAGTTGAAATTGATGCTAAATGTAAAGTTTAGGTAGGGGCTAACCTAAAATGACTACGTAAAATTTGTAGAGTATATTTCTATAGCAATGATGACAAAAATTGCTGAAATGACATCCAAGAATTTACATAAAATCAGAAAAATCTCTAAATGGATTTTGACATGAAGGAGATATCTGGTGGTGAATTCTTTTATATCATTGCATTATAAAAGGTCCTGAATTTAACAAGTTGTATGACCTAGTAATGCACAGATAACTTTTTAATGGGTGTTTTTTCTCTAAAAAATTAGTATGGCTTGTTTTGTAGAGTCTCTGAGTATACAATATTATTTTTAAATGTTATGGGAGTAAAAATGTAACAAAAATAATTGAAATAAATGCTCAAGATATATGTATATTTTTTAATACAGTCAGCACTCAGCAATAATTCAATGTAGAAAAATCTTTACATTAGATTGTCCTCAGTTCAGCCTAATTGAGTGCATATATTTTCCTATATTTTTTTATTTATAAAGGTAAATTTTAATATTCTATATGTACCTATTCCAGTGGGAACATCGCGCTCAGCCTCAATGGCCGAGACCCTCTCCCCTTGGGTCCAAACATGACACTTGCTGAGGCCGGGGTAGTGCCCTCCGACCTGCTCTCGGTTATTCACATCACTTCTGCTGCTGGTGCAACTGGTGCTGGTGGTGCTGGTGCAAGTGCTGCTGATGCTGGTGCTGCTGGTGCTGCTGGTGCAAGTGCTGCTGGTGCAAGTGCTGGTAAAAATGATTCTCAACTAAATTTGACACAGAAAAATGTTTGTACAAAAAATTCTCACTGTGTTATATTCCATTTAATATGCAATCGCAGAAAACATTCACTAATATGAGACAAATCTTTATATGAAAAAATTTATACCTTGCAATCTAGTATATATATTCATAATCATTGTCAGTCTTCTCATTGCAGTGTAGGCTTTTAAAGATGTTGAAATACAAAATCTCAGCCATTTATAAATAGGTATGAAACAAGAGGATATAGGATATATAAATAAGATATATATAATTATACATATAATTAAGTAAATACTTTTTTGCCTACACGCAGGTACAAGCAAGAGCAGCTCGGGAGACGGCGGCCTCCCTGTTGCAGCTGCGGCTTGCTCTGGTAATGTCAATGCTTCATTTACTTTTTTAATGAACAATTTTTCTTATCATGTTCTTATTTTTCAATGAATATTGATAGTGTTTCTATTATTTATTATTGGCTGTATTATTTGCAGTGAGAATTGAAATGTTTTTTTGTTTTTGTGGCACTCTACTGCACCACATAAGGTCATGTGGCTCATTAATAATAAATTTAATTAATAATGAATTTAATATCTATTTAAATTTATAAACTCATAAAATCATTTTACATCAACAAATATCACTGATACTTGAAGCTTGGACACTTGCATGTATAAGCTATGTTATTATATTTTTTAGCAATGGATTTAAGATAAATACCAGTGTAAATATTTTAGTTACAGTATCTAATTATCATGATATAACTAAAAAATTTAATTTATTTTATTATTCAATGATATTATTCAATGAAAGTAATTTAAATCTATTTTGAAATGTCCATTTGTTTTGATTTCTGACTCTTATTATAAAATTTAATTATTTTTTCTCCCATTTTGTTATTAATTACTATAAACTGCAAAAATGTTCACCATCAATCACTATGAAACCATTGAAAATAGTCTGAAGTTCACCAGGAATTTAAAGCAAGAAACGTGCAAACTACATTTACTGTATCTTCATTAAAAATGTTATGGAGACCTTCTCCATCATTAGTTCAACATATTTAATTAATACAATTACAATCAGTATTAAGTTGTTCTCATTTTACAGGTGACACATCAAAACCTCCTGAGTTTTCACCCAGCCTGCTGCTGGATGTCAAGACGGATGCCAGCGGCATGGCTGTGGCGGTGCCGGAGAACTTGACTCACTTGCTGGCAACCTGCAAGCCGCAGTCAGCCAGCCAACTTATTAACCTGTTGTCGCACATAACCATGACTGAGTGCGGATTTTTGCCATCCACTTTGGGACAATCTAATGCAAAACCTGGTCCAGATCCGGATATGAAAAAATCAACTGCTATTATCCCTCCTGTGGGGTGGGATGCGATGGTGGCCAGTATGCAGTACACCCACAAAAGTTTTGTTGGCTTTGAATGCACTCTAGTCTTGGTCACCATGGGGGACCTTAAACAAATACTTGTGTCTTTCCCAAATCAAGACATAGAAATAAGCACCAAGGTTAGCATTTTTGATTTTGTGGAACAAGGAGCAACATTCTCTGAAAATGTTCCTATGAAAATAGAAGCACTCCGTAATGTTCCGAAGCTTGCACAGAAGTTACGTAACGATTTGCTTGTCCCCCTGCAACTTGCTGCTCACAGGATTCTAGGACTCCCATCTCCTTTCCATCTTGCTGGTTTACCATTTGAGATTTTACTGCCCATCCTAGGCCTGCTTGACGTAAACAGTGTATTGCGCGTGTCACAAACATGTCGACGTTTGTATGATGTTTGTTCCGATGATGCCCTTTGGCACCATCTGTACAGGAGGGACCTAGGGGCACCTCCTGCAAATCGTACTGAAATGCAGCAATGGAAAAAGTTGTATAAAGAAAGATACATCCAGAAGAAATCCTACAACATTGGATGGCATGACCCTATGTTGATCGATTATCCTCCTCCACATCCGAGGATTTATCCTACAGGTCCTCTGAATCCTGGGTACCCTTACAACCCTGAGCCCATCGGCCCATACCCTGTCGTGCCGGACCCTGCACAGCCTTTTAACCCTTACAGGGACCCCGATAGCCCCTTCTATGGAGGAGACATCCCCAACCAACCCCCTAATCCCCTGAGACCTGGGGTTCCTTATCCAACGAATGACCCATTTGGGCCTATGCGCGATCCCTTCAACCCTTTTGCTCCCGGGCAAGACCCGCTTAACCCCTTCGGGGATCCTGGACTTGGGGGTCTGGGACCAGGCCTTCCTGGTCGACCCCGACAACCCCCCCGGAGAGGTCCGGGGTCGGGTCCTGGTTTCCGTTATATTTAAATTTCATGAAATTTTTTATTAAGATGCAAGGAAGCATTAAGAAATATTGTCCCAATATTGACACACTTTTTGCACCGGTATGCATTTTTGCTGGGCCAAACTGGGTCAGGATAAGCATTACATGGACTAAAGCCGCATCTCTGTTTGAACAAAGACATACTTATTTCTCTCAGTGCAAGCTGAATTATTGTCCATATTATGACTTTCTCAGAAGTGATAAAGCTTGGTGCATCTTCTAAATTTAGTTCGAAAAAACTTTTTGGGATTTTTCCATTGATGAATTTTCATGAATTATGTTATACAAACGTGAAGACATCTCTATAAATATTTGTTTTTCACTAAAAGTAGTGGACAAATTGTCTTTAAGATGTTTCATATTATAAAGGAAATATATTTTGGGGGGGGGGGAGAATTCTCTTTGTGGGCGTAGCGTCTTCGTGTTTTGTTTTTCTGCTGAATTTATTTTGAATATGAATTTGTATTTTTCATTTCGAATTTAAGCCGCGTTGCGTATGATGAGGGCGCGCATATTTAGCTCACTATCATTACATTAAGACAAATAAGTGGGTCTGGGTGACCCACTTAGATGAGTCAATCACGTATAGAAAAGCGATGCACTTTTTAGACTCACTTGCTTCATTTGTGGGTAATACTGACTCATCTAAATGGGTCATTTAGACTCACTTATTTCTCTGAATGCATGACACTTGTTATGTCTGGGTGCAGTTTAGAGTTTTATTGTGGGGTTTTTTAATAAAGATATTTAAATATAAGAATGGAATATTAAATATAATATTGGAATATTTAATGTGATATTGGAATCCATTATCTATTGAAAATATGAAAGAAACGGAGCTAATCATAAATTAGATTCAATATAAAAGGAAAAACTGCTATTATTTTTTATTAAATGTTGAAATGACTATTTAGGAAATATATATCCCATTATTTAGTAATGGACAAACTGTCTAATGGAAGGAGGGAAAGCCGTTCATTTCTAATGGAAGCAAGGAAGCTGTGTCTTGTATTAAATGTACTCTCATCTACACAGAACAGCACATGTATTACTTTGTACACGGAATGCCTTATAAAAAAATGTTTTACAAATTGTTTCATTTACCGCATTATGTTTACATCCTCTAGTGCAGCACTGCGCTAGTTTACATCCTCTAGGAAAACCTGTTCTGGATACGGTATAAACTGTTGTATATACAGTGTAAACTGTTGTATATACGGTATAAACTGTTGTATATACGGTATAAACTGTTGTATATACGGTATAAACTGTTGTATATACGGTATAAACTGTTGTATATACGGTATAAACTGTTGTATATACGGTGTAAACTGTTGTATATACGGTATAAACTGTTGTATATACAGTATAAACTGTTGTGTATATACAGTATAAACTGTTGTATATACAGTGTAAACTGTTGTATATACAGTACATAGTGTTCTATATACAGTATAAACTGTTCTATATAGAGTATAAACTGTTATATATAGTATAAACTGTTGAATATACAGTATAAACTGTTGAATATACAGTATAAACTGTTGTATATACAGTACAGAGTGTTCTATATACAGTATAAACTGTTCTATTTACAGTATGTACTGTTCTATATACAGTATAAAATGTCCGTGTTTCGCTGGGCTGTGTATAAATGTTCTAGTTATTTTTAATAAATTGTTTGGAATTATTTATGTAATGAATGGCTTGAAATAAAATATTATAGCATTCATGAAAAGTATTTTAAAACAATAATTAAAGGATAACCTTTTGATTTTTAAACAAGGCTGAAATTAACGCTTGTCTACTTCTACTTCATCCATCACACCTCTACTTCATCCAGCACACGTCTACTTCATCCATCACACCTCTACCTCATCCACCACACGTCTACTTCATCCACCACACGTCTACTTCATCCACCACACGTCTACTTCATCCACCACACGTCTACTTCATCCACCACACGTCTACTTCATCCACCACACGTCTACTTCATCCACCACACGTCTACTTCATCCACCACACGTCTACTTCATCCACCACACGTCTACTTCATCCACCACACGTCTACTTCATCCACCACACGTCTACTTCATCCACCACACGTCTACTTCATCCACCACACGTCTACTTCATCCACCACACGTCTACTTCATCCACCACACGTCTACTTCATCCACCACACGTCTACTTCATCCACCACACGTCTACTTCATCCACCACACGTCTACTTCATCCACCACACGTCTACTTCATCCACCACACGTCTACTTCATCCACCACACGTCTACTTCATCCACCACACGTCTACTTCATCCACCACACGTCTACTTCATCCACCACACGTCTACTTCATCCACCACACGTCTACTTCATCCACCACACGTCTACTTCATCCACCACACGTCTACTTCATCCACCACACGTCTACTTCATCCACCACACGTCTACTTCATCCACCACACGTCCACTTCATCCACCTCGCGTTCCTCCATTAATTTATGATTTCATCCACTTAATCCTCGCCTCATCCACCAGCTCCGTGGCTGGCATCCATCAAAGGCAGTCTACTTTACATGTCAAAGTAGAATAATTCTACCAGTCTACTCCACGTCCCTAGGGGACGGTCTACGTCCGCTGTAATTTATCCCATTAGATCCCCATCTCTCTTCAGCCTTCATCCTCTCTCTTTATCTTGCTCTTTATCCCTATATCTTTATCCATCTCTATCTATCCCTCTCTCTTTATCCCTCTCTCTTTATCCTTATCTCTTTATCCCTCTCTCTTTATCCTTCTCTCTTTATCCCTCTCTCTGTATTCCTTTCTCTTTATCCCTCTCTCTTTATCCCTCTCTCTTTATCCCTCTCTCTTCATCCCTTTCTCTTTATCCATCTCTCTTTATCCCTCTCTCTTTATCCCTCTCTATTTATCCCTCTCTCTTTATCCCTCTCTCTTTATCCCTCTCTCTTTATCCCGCTCTCTTCATCCCTTTCTCTTTATCCCTCTCTCTTTATCCCGCTCTCTTCATCCCTTTCTCTTTATCCCTCTCTCTTTAATCCCTCTCTCTAAATGTTCAGAATGAGTTTGAAAAAATTTACGTATTTGGTCAACAAAGGAAAACTGAGTTTCGTATTCAGCCTATATATATATTATAGATTTTTTATTCGCCATTTTCACTTAATATATATACAGTTTTAGGTAACCTTTTCACCCTGAAGCTTTTTTAGTCCTTTCTTCTTGAAAATACAAAATTTCAAAAAGTTGCCAATAAAACTTTCTTGAATGTTAATTAAATGTTCGGTATAAAACCCGTAGACTTGAACGGAAAAACTTCCCAGAATTCATCAATCTTAAATAAGTACATGAGATGAAAATTCAGCTTGAAATTAGAGTAATTATTAAAGAAATCTTCACAGTTGTGTTGTTATGTCTTTTATTATATTTTGTTCTATATTGCATTTTGTGTTACAATATAATTTATGAAGGAATTCATGGTTTTATACGCATATGAAGTTGAGAATATTCAAATTCCAAGGATGTAACATTATTCACTATAAACTTGCAACTGTAAACATCTTTCACAGGTTCATGATAGTAATTGTCTTTAAATACATTTAAGATCCCTTGTTTTTTATGAATAAATGGCCTATTCACGTCGCGAAATATATTCAAATTTTAATATCAATGTTCATGTAAAGATGGGATGACGTCACGCGTTGTCCCTTTAAACGCACTAGGTGGCGGCCCCCCCTCCCCCTCTCACACCCACTCTCTAGTAAAAACGGTCTAGCATCAGATCTAGATCATCTATCATCCTAGATCCAAGCTACAAATAATCTCTAATGATATTCACAAATAATTATCGCTATGTTAATCATCTAAACATGAATATATTCTCATAAAAATATATTTTTATTTGGGATCGTGCCAGGAAATCTGACTTTTGGTTGCGTTCGACCTCCGCCAGCCTCAGTTACCCCGTGGCTGTCATAGGGGTAGGTTGTGTCTTCTTCCTCTCCTCTACGAAATACTCTATTAATGGTTTCCTCTTCATTATATATTTTGTTCCCAGGAAAACCAGTCTCCGAAACATAATAAAAATTATTTACAGTAACTTAAACGCTTGTGGAAACCCATAGACAAAGGAAACAGATCTCCAGAGGGATATCCTGGCGGCTGTTGAAGTGGAGATTGCCGGAGGACATGGAAATTCATGCATATTCATGAGCCTGGATATTCATGATGAAGGTAATTATATTTATAATTTATTAACATACATAATTTATTAATAATCGTAATATCTTAAAGAAATTGTGATTAAGATTATATCGTGAAATTTTATACACGATTCATGAATCTCGCAATCGGGGGACGAAAACAAGCTCTCGCTCAACTCCTCCGTTTATCCATGTGTTATTCTTTATCCATGTGTTATTTCGCCTCGTATCCATGTGTTGAAGGAAGTAGCACTGAAGCTCTTGTTACAAAAATTTAGCTATAGCTGTATTGCGGAAGTTAAACATCCGCAGTATCTGACCGATCATTTGTTCGCCACTCGAACGTTGCGGGAAACGGCGGTAGCGTGACTTGAGTTAAATTGCTGTTAGTATAGTATCTTCGGCATTAAATAAATAGGCCTGGATAGGCCTGTTCTCATCGTACGAAATAAACTTTGTGCTAACTCGTTTTTCTGTCTGAAATAAAATAGGCTCGTGCCATTGAGCAGAAAAATATTATTTAATGGCGAGTTAAAATACAGAAGAAACAATTTAATTTATTTACAAAGTCAGAAGACAAAATGAAGCTAAAGGTAAAATACACTAGCACCAAAAAATTTGCATTGAACTTCGAAGGCTCCACTGTCGATGAACTGTTAGCGGCCGTTTTAGCCTTCATAACTGATACATATGGCGATGATTGGTAAGTTATTCATGTATTAGTTGATTTTTATAGAATTAAAATATCACATAATTCACAACTTACTGTCTTAGACTCTTAGTATTTAATACCGTAATTGATTATCAATTTTGGTCAATATCGACGCTTACTCGTTGGTCGTTACTCAC